GAGAGAGAGAGGGAGAGTGAGTGAGAGCAGTAGCGACAGGGAAAGAGGAGAGGGAGATTGGGAGGAAATAATCAAGTGATCCACTTGCAGGGCTGGGCACGTCCATGGTGAAAGCGCTCTTAAAGCCAATCTTTTGCCCCGACTCCGAGCTGTTGCTCCATGTCCAGTCAAGCGGAATATCCGCTTCCTCCTCACCATGGATCTCGGATTTGAACAACCGTCCATTCCTCCTGGCCCATTCGAAGGAATTGTCGGCCATTGCCCTGGCGCACAAGAACGACATCGAAGGCGGCTTTCTGGGCAGGGTTTGTAGGGTTTGGGGTTTTTAGGGTTTATAAGTTTATATGGGTTTAGTGGGTTTACTTTAAAGATTTATACAGTCTCTCTAATGCAGGAGGGGAGCGGGGTAAACTTCCGGACTTCCATCAACCACTGCTTCGTGACCTTCCCCCCTGACTCTTCCGAGTTCTTCTTCTGTATGTGCCACTTCTCCAACACTCCCTCCACCTTGTCAAACGACCCGTGGTCCAGAAGGAGCTTGCGGAGCTGCTCACCTAGTCAATACTGATGCAAAGTATTGTAGGTTAACTAGGAGGATGGCATGGTACAAACATTGCAAGAAAGTCTCGCCCATCAGAGCTCTTTCCCATGTCAAGCACCCTGGGCGAGCATTTCACCTCGCCCTTGGAATTCGGCAGGAAGTGGCGCCGAACCCTTGGTTGCGTAAGCTTTGTTGCTGGCTTGTGTATATTGCAACTACCCTAATAGGGTTTAAAAGGTTTAGGGGCTTAGGGGTTTAGNNTAGTATAAATAGGACAAGAAGCTTCCAGTACCCCTCAGGCTTCGGTTCAGGTTTCTTCTTTACCGGGGTCGGTCTTCGGAAGCTGGGAAACAGTTGCTTCCGAACGTTGGGCTGGGTGGGCCGGGAGCCGGTGCTCGGGGGTGTCCCCTTCTTGCGTCCACTACTCACAGCGGCCGGGCTGTCGTCGACATCGATCGAAGGAATCTCCTTGGGTGTGGGGGCCTTGCGAGGGGTCGAGGCAATCTCCGTAGGCTGGCTTGCTTGCGTCACGTCATGGTACTTGGAGGATTGCTGAAGCATACGTACTGTGGTGGAGGGGCTCACATCTGCCAGCTTTGCCGTGGCATTCCCAGGCGCAAACTGACCAGAACTTGTTGCGATGGCAGGGGCACCTGCCGGAAAGAAACATGCATGATGCTAGCAATATCCTATGGGTTGAACCTGGCACAGCATCCGGAACCGGCTCGGGATTGGTCAAAGCCAATTGCTTCTGAAGTTCGGCCAGGTTGGCTTGCGCCGCCTTGGCTTGTGGCTGAGGGAAGAGCAAATCTTTAAAACATATGTCGATGAATCTGAGGAAACGATTAGCTGCAAATAAAGAGCATTGATCTGCTCATCCAATTCGTGTTCCGGGATGTCCGACATATCGGTCCACGACCGAGCTAGGAGGCTAACTCCGTCGGCCAAGGTGTCTAGGGAGGCCATGCTGGCCGTGATGCAAAATTGAACTGTGCGGCATGCAATAAGTCTGACAAGACAATGTGTAAGCAAGCACAAGCTTAAGTTTAACCAACATGCCTCTCACCAGGTAGCTTCGGAGTGCCTAGGCTGGGAAAACTCAACCACCCCAACCCTGCTGATGCTCAGTGCTGGCCTGCCCTGCCCCAGGCCCCACCACAATGCTCATGATGCCATGTCCCCCCACACCTCCACCCCCAGGTTGCCTGCTGGTAGACTGGGCCAGGGTCTCTGTACTATATACACAGGCGACTGTGGAGAAGCAGAAAAGCGTGCAGGAAGTAAAAAGCGCGCGTGGAACCCAAAAAACGTGCGTGAGAAAACGGCCCACATACGTTTTTCTAAATAGCGCGAGAGTTGCGGGAAATAGCGCGCGAGTTGCGGAAAATAGCGTGAGAGTTGCGGTCGAAATTTTCACTCGGCACCCGCCCAAAACAAAAAGCGCGCGTGCAACCTAAAAAACGTGCGTGACACTTTGCCTCCTCTGGACCCACCCTAGAAATGGCTCTCGACCTACCCTAGAAATGGCTGGCTTCCCTGTTTCCTGCAGGCCGCAAAGATCAGTCTCCGTTCACGAACAGCGACCGGCTGGAGCCCTGGTGGCCGCATCCTTCTCAGCCCCTAGCTAAGTAAAGAGTTGTACTCGTCCCTGAGCTCAGCAAAGCAGTTCACCTTGGAGGGGGATTCACTGTCTAGTTCCTATAGGCTTGTCAGACTGTAGCATACAGTAAGAGTCCAAGACACCTTGGCATCCAGTTCTTTATCAAAGCTCTCGATCGTAGATTCCCAACAAGAAGGTATCACGAGGTACTTGTTTCGTCTCAAGTAGAAATACACTGAGGGCAGCTTGGCATCTTCCCACATGTCCTTCATTGGTAGGGCCTTGAACAACTCCACATCGGATAAGTCGGGATTGGTAGTGGTCTTGTTGCGTAGGGAAGCCAATGATTCAGGTGCATGGCCTGTAGCAAAAACATCGAAGATTTGCTTGACAAACTCCATCGGGTAGACCCTTGGCAGATTGTTTAGGGATTAAGGAGATCGGGTATGCCAACTACCTAACCTAGGTTCAGGGTATGGGGTAAATGGGATTCACCTGGTGCTCATTTAGGGTTTGTTTGTGTAGATCCACTTAGGAGTATATCCGGCTAGGTGTATATAGGCTTATCTATGTATAGTGAGCTAATTATATAGGATTGAGGGATTGGGGCTCAGGGCTTGTAGGGCTTGAAGCGGTTTCATCCAATAG